CTGGCAGTCAGACAGTAGAGAAAGAAGGGGCAGAGCTGTTTGCTGGGGTAGAGATTTCAGCAGCAGGAAGCACGGTGATGTCTGGAATCTTCTGAGGGCCCCAAGGAGGCTGGCCAGGCATTCAGAGTGGGTCCTGGTCAGCCAGAAGGGATCAGGGGCCCATGTAGGGACAGGCCATGTGTGGGGGCACACAGGAAGGGAGTGATGGTGGAGCGAGGAGCCAGGACATGAAGGCAGCAAGGCAAAAGGACTGGGAGAGAATGAACTGGATGGTCTCGGGCCTGCATCGGGCTGGGGGAGGGAGAGGGTGGGGTGCAGGGGGTGCGAGGGTGGGGCCATGACACCCCACTAAGGTGCAGCCCTTGGCCCCGCCCGGAGGGGATGAGCAGCCCCACCCCAGCAGCGTGGAACACGAAGGAAAACAAGGAGACTTGGGGAACGCTATGGGCGCCTGCATGTGCTGTGACTCTTATCCCCAGTGTGCAAAGACCTGAAGCCTCTGAAGGCCACCTTCTCCTAGGGCTCCTGCACTTGGACTTGAGCAGCCAGCTTTTCCTTGTGGGTCAGAACCTGGCGGATCCGGCAGCCTGCTCAAGCCGGTTTTATCTGCCCCTCTACTTTGGAGGCCGCAGTTAAATGGGATATTTAATAAACATTCACGGGTGGTGAAGGAGACGGGCCCTGGAGCCTGCGCACATCAGCTTTCAGTGGAGTGAAAGCAGCCCTCAGCCTCTGTCCTCCCCCTAAAAGGGCTCCTGGGAGTGGCTGCAGAGGTTCACTCAGAACATACACTGGAGACCCTGCACAGAAGCTGGAAGGGCAAGTCCCCCCCCGCCCCAGTCCCCTCGCCCCCAGCTCCCTGGAGCTAACTGAGAGGGGCCAGAGTCCCAAGACAGACTCTCCTCCAAGGGAAAGTCTTCCCATTGGCCCCATTTCAAATGGTTTGCTCTTGTATTTACTTTCATTTATCCGGGTTGAGCCCAACTGTGCCTTAAATTTACAGTGCATCCCTGAAGTCTTGGTCAACGAGGTCGGGGGCAGGGGGGGACGTGCCTCGCACAAATGTTGGTGGAAGTTCTCACTTTGTGCTTAACCAGTCAGTAGACGAAGAATGTGAGAGAATGGGCAACAGCACGCCCTCCTTCCTGGGGTCAGTCTGGGCACTGAGCCCAGTGGGGCAGCCACCAGCGAGGGCAGAACAGGCCGCCGGCAAGCTCCTCCAACCTCGCCACCACAGGGAGCGGGGGGCAGGGTCGGGGGGTGGCCGGCTAAAGACTGCAGTGAATACAGTGAAGCTGTAAGGAAGAATTAGAAGCTCTTTCTGATCCAATTTGGAATGACTGCCAACACATAACTTGAAGTGAAAAGGGCGGAGAGAATATGCACAGAAGTCCCAAAAAGAAATGGAGGCAGCCTAAGTGGCTGGTAGGGGGAGGGGCACATTTTCAAATAGGTGTTCCTGGTGCCTTTTGAATTTTGTTCTTTTTGAATGCTTTATCTATTTAGAAGAGTAAGATAAAATTTCTAAATAAATAAATAGATAATACCCATCCCACTTTCTTAGCAAAGCTTGTGGCAGGAATTATCACCCTAGTTGATGTGTCTGTTTGAAAGTGAGGGGAGGGGGCGCCTGGGTGGCTCAGGGTCAGGGAGGGGGCGCCAGGGTCCTGGGATCAGGGCCTGCGTCTGGTTCTTTGCTCAGCGGCGAGTCTGCTTCTCTCACTTTTGCTCGCTCTCTCAGATAAATAAATAAAATCTTAAAAAAAAAAAAAAAAAAGTGAGGCAAGGCTCTTCCATTATATTCACTCCTGGCATTTAAGGAACACTTAGTAAGGGTTCTGCAGTTACAAAGACACCCTGTAAAAGACACAGATCCCTGAAATCAATTTGACTCAATTAACAGATGAATATCATCATAAATTTAGGCTATGTTGAAGGTAGTCTCAAATCTGCTGGGAAAGGTGGATTATGAAGAAAGAAAGAAAGTGGGTGTTGGCCCCATTGGCTCTTCAGAGGTGGAAAATAATCCAGTTAGATCCCTGTCTCTTATCTTTGAATAAGAGATTCCAGATGGGATTAAAAACCAATAGTAACAAAGTTAATATAAGTACTGAGATAAAGAGAACATTCTATTTTTGTGATCTTGGGGTGGGGAAGGCTTTTCTTTTCAAGATAGATTCAGTAAGAATCAACTCTCTATACCATCCACATAACTTTTCTGAAAAGCTAAATCTATTCTAAAACAAAATTTCAAAAAACCCAAAACCTCAGTTCGCCAGAAGATATCATTCACAAAGGTTTAAAAAGGACGATGTGCAAAAAAAGAGAAAAAAAACGATATATAGAACTTAGGAGAAAATACAGTGCTGAAACATATATAATAAGCAATTTATCAATACGTTAATAAGATTAATTGCCCCATAGAAAAATGGGCAAGAAGCGTCAAGATGTCATTTACAATAAGAGAAACACAAAAGGCCAATAAACATATGAAAAGATTCTCAATTTCACTGGCAGTCAGAGAAAAATCAGAACCACAGGATCACACTTCTCACTTACCAGGTTGACTAATAAAGCTTAAAAACAAAACTGAGAATACACAGTGGAGAAACAGACATTTTCAGGTCCATTGGGGGTATTATTAATTGATACAGCTTTTGTTGGAGGCCAAATTTTAAATGTATATACCTTAGGACTGCAATTTCACTTCAAAGAGTTTATCCTATAGAAATATTTACATAGATGTGCAAAGCCTGTACCCTGATTGTGTGTATACCAGGGAACACTACACAGCTATGAAAATGAATGAGGTTCATCATACACATACATATACATATATATACATACACACACATGAAAGTGAGACAAACTGGGGCACCTGGCTGGCTCAGTTGGTAGAGCATGCAACTCTTTTTTTTTTTTTTTTTAAAGATTTTATTTATTTATTTGAGAGAGAGCACATGAGAGGGGGGAGGGTCGGAGGGAGAAGCAGACTCCCTGCAGAGCAGGGAGCCCGATGCGGGACTCGATCCAGGGACTCCAGGATCATGACCTGAGCCGAAGGCAGTCGCTTAACCAACTGAGCCACCCAGGCGCCCGAGCATGCAACTCTTAATCTTAGGGTCGTGAGTTCAAGCCCCACATTAGGCATGGAGCCTACTTTAAAAAAAAAAAAAGAAAGAAAAAAAGAAAAACAAGTACCAATAATGGGGCCTGTTGGGAGCAAATGGGAAATTGGGGCTGGACAACATGGGCCCTGGAGGTTTGGACTTGGCATGCGAGGTAAGGCAGAGACAAGATAATCCCATGTAGCCATAGAGCGGACAGACTTTGAGGGAGGAGGAGATGGACCATCCATCCAGGTGAGAGACAGGACATGAAAGCAGAAGCAGGTGGGACAGAGGTGGCTGAGACCCAGACAGGTACCTGTTTGCACAGAGCTGACATGACGGCAACCACAAACAAGGATTTGGGATTTGGAAGTCAGAACGGACAGGATGTAGGATGAACAGGCATAATGGGCTGGGGATGGGAGAGACCTCTAAGACTACAATTTCTGACTCTGCGACACAGAGGACTAACTGTTTGGGGCTGAGCAGGGAGCCTGGAGGCAGAGGTCAGCCTCTTCAGATCATATGCAAAGAAGTCCCATGCGTCTGGGCTTAATGCAGATGGCGCCCACTGAGGCCCTGGTTTAGCGTTCACACTTAAAGTCCTCAGACAGAGCTTCTAGAAGCCCATTCTTTTTTTTTTTAAGATTTTTTAAAAAATTTATTTATTTGACAGAGAGACACAGCGAGAGAAGGAACACAAGCAGGGGGAGTGGGAGAGAGAGAAGCAGGCTTCCCGCCAAGCAGGGAGCCCGATGCGGGGCTCAATCCCAGGACCCTGGGATCATGACCTGAGCTGAAGACAGACGCTTAACGACTGAGACACCCAGGCACCCCGAAGCCCAGTTCTTTCAAAGAAAGAGCAACAACTCTCCTTCCAGGACTGTGGAGAGGCCTTCTCTCTTTATTCACAGACAAGAGCTGAAGCTGAGCTCAGGATGACTGCACCCAGTGGGCCCTGGGATATGGGTCTGCATGGAATGCCAAGCCTGCTTCCAGAAGCTGCCTCTGGGGAGGGAGTTGCAGAGGAATGGCCCCAGTTAAGGGTTACCGCGGAGGTGCCTGTGAAGGCTGGGGGTCTTCCTGAAGGGCCCCAGGACAGGCCTGGTTGGAAGGGTGGGGAGGGCCATCATTCTAGATGGGAGGAGAGGAGAGATGAGGAATGGTCTGCTCCGGGAAGGCAAGGAATTCCCTATAGCTGTGGCCTAAAGTGGGGGAAGGAAGGAGGAGAGGAGAGACTGGGTGGGGCCAGGTCCAGTGAATGGGTCTCATCTCCCAGTGGGCTGAGTTTGGTCACCTCGTTCATTCAGTCGAAAAGAATTAACAGAGTGCAAACAGCATGTCAGGCACTGTTCTAGATGCTGGGGGATATGGCAGTGACTACTGAGGGACCTGCTCTCCTGGAGGGAACATGGAGGAGAGGCACCAAAAATAAGGAACCAACAGTAAGATAAAATTCTGGCAGAAAGCCATGCTGTGCAGAAAATAAAGCAGAATGATGAGTTGAGAGTTTGGGAGAGGGGTCCGGGAGGAGTGATTAGAGGACATAATGCCGCTGAGGTCTGAGGACAAGAAGGAACCCGCTACCAAGGACTGGGAAGCAGCAGGCAGGGGGTTGGGGAAGGGGGGTGGGTGCTGCAGTCAGAAGCTAATTGTATAAGGCAATTGTTTTGCTAATAAGACCATGTTAAGAAAATTAGGCTCTTTTCCTTTCGGAATGAACTCATTAGTGAACTGTATTTTTAGTTCTTTCTCCTGGGTTTTAGAGACTGGGCAGGAGGGGGAGGTTTGTTGGGACTGATGGGGAGGACTCTGGACCCCCACACCCCACCGTGTCCCAGGGGAAGGGATGCGTGTCAGAGGGAGGAGGCAGGGGGGAGGGGCACCCACCTGCTCCGAGAGGTCACGTCCAAGAAGCACTGCACGAGGGCCAGCAGGTTGTGGTGGTGACCTGACACCTTGCTCAGGGTGCGGCACAGCTGCTGGAGCTGTGGGGGCGGTGGGCGGCAAGGGGGGCTGCAGGAGGGCCCGTCGTCACCCTGACCTCCCCACCAGTCCACTTAGGGGGAAGCCAGAGAGTAAGAGGAGGGGGCGGTCGCAGAGCCCAGGGACTGGCGGGCATGTTCCCCAGCATCCTGGTGACCTCCAAGCCTGCCATTCCCATTGAGTGCGCTCAAGGTGCAACTTCAGTCCCAGCAACAAGGTCAAGTGGAGGAGGATCAGGACCTTACAGAGGAGGCTAGGGCTAGGGCTTGGGCTTGGGCTTGGGCTTGGGCTTCAGAGCTCATGATACCTTCCCGGGCCACTCGCGGATGTTCTCAAGGAGCAGGAGCAGAAGCTGCTGAAGATCCGTCTTGGGCAGCAGGCGGAGCCCCACGTCTAGGCCGGCTCGGCACAGCAGCTCGATCAGGTTCAAGAGCTCCCTGTCGGTGTAGGCCGTTGGCTGGGCCAGGGCACACAGTGCCAGGAACTGGAGAGCAGAGAGAGTGCTAGGGCAGGGAGGGATGGCACCCGGAGCCCTGTGGCCGGGCTGGGCAGCGGCTGAGAAAGACAAGCGGCAAGGCCTAGAGTCAAGCCCCCCATGGGGTGCTCTGGTGGCAGGCCTGGCCGCGGGGACTGTGAGCTTTCTGCAGCACCAGTCCCGGCAGCCGGCGTGGTGCCTACAGCGGCGCCGAGCCCACGGGGGGTGCTCAGTGGTACCTACCGCGTGCAACTGCTCAGCAGGTCTGGATGGTGGGCAGAAGTGGGCGTCTGACTCACCTTATAGATGTAGCTCAAGCTACTGTCCAAGGCAGTCTCTGGGGGGCTGTCCTGCCACTGACTGCAGCTCAGGCTGATGTCGTTTTTAAGCACTCTAAGGTAAGACAAAAGCAAAGGGAAGGAAATGAGAGGAGGTGGATGCAAGGGGATAACTGAGGCAGGGAGGGGGGCCTGCCGTTGCTCAAGAGCAGAGAGCCCGTGGATGGTCCATGCAGCCTGGGACACTCATGCCCTATGTGTGTTGGTCATCTACTGCTGCGTAACAAATCCCCCAACATACAGAGGCTTAAAAACAACAAATATTTATTATGTCATGCAGTTTCTGAGAGTCAAGAATCCAGGAGCTGCTTAGCTGGGTGGTTCAGGCTCAGGGTTTCTGGGGAGGTTGCCTCCAAAATATTGAGGGTGGGGCTGCTGTCACGTCAGGCCAGAATGGGCTGGAGGAACTACTTCCAAGCTCACTCGTGTGCCCACCAGCAGGCCTCCAAGTCCTTACCCCATGGCCAGCTTCCCCCAAAGTGAGCGATTCGAGAGAGGGGAGAATGCCAGAGACTGAAGCCACAGCCTTTATAACCTGGTCTTGGAAGTGACTTCATCCCATCACTTCTGCTAATGCACACAGACCATCCAGACTCCGAGTGGGGGTGAGAGCCACACAAGGGGAAGAACGCCGGGAGATGGGGATTCCTGGGGGCTGGCTCCCAACGGCTGCCATTCCAGCCAGGCCTCAGGCTTTACTTTTCTGGGACTCGAAGACCAGAAAATCATACTCCATTATCCCAAAAGAGTCTTCCTCAAGAAAGTTCTTTGTCCATACAGGTATGGTGGCTCTTTGCATGCACGGAAAAGTACACCACATGGTAGCTTACGTGGGGGCTAGTTTCCAAAGTCAGCAAGTAATATGGGGTAATTCAGAGTAAAAATGATCTTTGAGAACCCCCCCAAAGGTCACGCTAACACGCTGTCTACCGACGAAGTTAGAGCTTAGGGTCACATGAAAAAAAACCCCAAAAGACAAAACACCTCTTTAAAGACTAGAGTCGTACTCAGGGTGGCAAGATCCCTACAGTGAGGGGGGCATCAGTGGACTGCAGAGCTGTACCAGCCTTGCACAAACTTTCCAGGTGCATGCTCACTGGATAGAAAACAGAGCAGGATCGGTCTCACTAAATCATTCTCTCTCTCCGGTCACATGTATACTGTGGGTTGTCAGCTACTGTTGAGGTGAGCTTATGCCAAGGCTCCATGTGCTGTCTCATCCACTTCTCCATGCTTATTAACTCGTTTGGCGTTCCCGAGAGCAGTGGGCTCTCCATAAATGAAGGTATGGAGGACAGCAACACTGTTGCCCGCAGCATCTCCAGGGTAGCCGCCTGACCGCTGACCAAGGGGGAGCCCTCGTTCCTGCATGCTCCAGGGAAGAGTCTCTGCTCTTCTTTACTTGACCCTGGTGCTGCTTCTCAGACAGGAAGAGGGAGAAATCCATCTCTAGGCACCGGAGAATTGGTGCCCACACACTGACGTCAGGGGAAGGGGCGGGGGTTAGGACAGGGCTTGGTCATTCTTCCAGAGTTCAGCATTTATTAGGGCCAGGGAATGGGGGAGGCTGTGTGTGCACATCTGGGCACCTGCTGGGCCCGTGTCCGTACAGGAGGGCTGTTCTGGTCGGCTCCAGCCTGTGAGCAGGCACAGGGGCCGGAAGCACGAGTGGCAATGTGTTCAGACTTCCCCAAGATGGGGGCAGGCACAGAACTGTGACTCTGCTGAAGAGGAATGGGCTTTCAGACAGTTCGGTGCTGCCAGAGGCGGAGTGTGGAAAACGTGAGCTGGGGAGGGAAGCGTGTCTGTGACAAGTGGAGAGGGCCAACAGCCTCCCTGTTGTGAGCATCTCCCTGAGCCGCCTCTCCTTGGGAAGAGCGGGCAGTATGGTGGCGTCCTCTATCCCCTGCCTTTCCGAGGCTCTGAGGAACCACTTGACCGGACCGTCGGCCTCTGTGACTGCTATTCTGGGATGTGGCATCCACTGACGCCCAGGCCTCCATCTCCATGCTCCAAGCAGGAGGCCACGGAACACAGGCATCCACAGCCCAGCAACCCGGCTCCCCTCCTGGACTCAGCAGGTTAAGAGCGAGGTGACGGTCCCACCACCGGACTCCATGAACAAAGCGCTTCATCTGTCCACCCCCTGCCCCTCAGCCCTGACCCCCAGCTGGCTGGGTTAGGGCTCAGCCTGTGGCCAGCACCCAGGAGCTGGAGTTGGGTTACAACGACACTGTTCTATACTTACAAGTAATCTTTTTTTTTCTTTTTAGATTATTTATTTATTTATTTATTTATTTGACAGAGGGAGACACAGCGAGAGAGGGAACACAAGCAGGGGGAGTGGGAGAGGGAGAAGCAGGCTTCCCGCAGAGCAGGGAGCCCGATGCGGGGCTCAATCCCAGGACCCCGGGATCATGACCTGAGCCGAAGGCAGACGCTTAACGACTGAGCCACCCAGGCGCCCTACTTACATCTTTTTTTTTTTAAGTGTTTTATTTATTTATTCAAGAGAGTCAGAGAGAGAGAGGCAGAGGCAGAGGGAGAAGCAGGCTCCCCACCTAGCAGGGAGCCCGATGCAGGGCTCGATGCAGGACCCTGGGATCATGACCTGAGCCGAAGGCAGACGCTTAACCATCTGAGCCACCCAGGCGCCCCTCTTTCAAGTAATCTTAAGAGGGGCATGTCACTGACCCCTATCCCAGTTTCTAGATTTGTTTTCCCCAAGAGTTGAAAATAATACTAAAGTTACTGTCTGTACAGTGCGCAGACATTCTCAGCAGGAGGACGGTCAGAGAGGCGTATGAGCACGGCACCTCCACAACCGTGGGCCATCCTCAAGGCTCCCAGGGGTCGGGGCCCCACCATGCAGGCTACGAGGGGGGTGCTCTCCCCTAGGCTTGTACTGCTAAACCAGACGGGACCTGTTCAGGCTCTACGAGCCAAGGTCAATGAAGTAAAGGGAAACTGATGCAGAGCTGATGGGAAGGGAGAGAGAAGTACATTTTACCTGGGTCGGATTACATTGTCCTGAGATGGCCAGTGACCAGCCTCCCCTACACTGGACAGGATACCCTTTCAATGGATTAACTGTCATTTAGTTGCCCCTTTGGCCTCTGCACCAGGCTGCCCTTTCAGAGAACCAAGGGCATGAAGGTTTCTGGCACTAGGCTACGGCAGTTTGGCTGCCAGTCCTGTCTGTCTGACTGGGACTTTCCACTGGGCTTTGTAACCTGGGAGCAGCCTTGGAAGACCTGCCGTTGGGGGCCAAGGACCTGCCCTGCCTTGGCAGGTGAGACTGGGGCCCGTGATGGAGAGTATCTGCATAGTGTGGTACACTATGTGGTACAAGCCCCCTCAAGCTCTCGCTTCTGCTTCCTGGTCAGTGTTCACGCTCTGGTCCCTCTTCTGCCCTTTTGCTCCCACACATCCTCCCAATTCCTCTGTCCCAGCCTCGTCAATGGGCAGAGGGCTACTGTGTTTGCCACAAGGTGGACATGGCATGGTCCAGCGGCAGAAGGGCTACGTCTTTCTGAAAGGAGATCTTGAAGCATTCGATGAGATGGTGATGGGTTTCAACAAAATCTGAGATTAAGAACAAAACGGTGAGGGCGCCTGGGTGGCTCAGATGGTTAAGCATCTGCCTTCGGCTCAGGTCATGATCCCAGGGTCCTGGGATCGAGTCCCGCATCGGGCTCCCTGCTCCTTGGAAGTCTGTTTCTCCCTCTGCTTCTCTCTCTCTCTCTCTGTCTCTCATGAATAAATAAATAAAATCTTAAAAAAAAAAAAAAAAAGAACAAAACGGTGAAAGAAAGACCAGTCTTTCTCATAGACACTAAAAAGATAGTCCAGTTGTGGGGCCATGTGCAGAGACATCTCAACCCCTCATTTTCAACCTTGGCCAATATGAGGGCTCTGTGGGTGCCCTGGAGGAGCCCCAGAGCATCTGTTCTGTCGAGGAGCCCTAGATCAGACATCCCTGGAAGTCAACAGAGCAGTGGGTGACATGGAGCCAATTGGCATGGGATGAACTTGAGCTAGGTCAGGAACAGGACAAGGAAGACAGTGGGGAGAAGGCAGCCTGCCCCGATGTTCCTCTTGTGGTCCATGTGTCTATGAAGGATGCCATACCCCCAGTGGAGGAGATGCCAGAACCTTCACAGTGCTTCCTGAATAGTCTAGAAGAGCTCTCTTCCAACCCTATGACTCCCAGAGCCTCCCCAACTGCAGCAGCCAGCCAGCAACCCAGGTAACCCACCCAAACATCTTTGCTACCCCACAACTTGGGGAGGCCACTGGAGGGGTCTCCAGGTTGTGTTTGTTTTTCCAAAAAGAGGCTGTGTTCAGGCAGAAAAACCTCTGCAGGCTAAGTGGCTGGGCAGGTGGCCCCAGACTGTCCTTAGAGGGCCACAATAAGAAAATCAGCCCTGAAGCCATCGGCCAGCTCCTCTGGGCCAGGTCTGAGTCCTCCGTGGGGAAACGGTGCCAGCAGCATGAGGCCCAAGGGAAGAAGCAGGGTGTCCAAGCAGCACGTCTGGTGGTGTGACTACGCAGCTCTGACAACACTCTGCGACCACGTGGATTGGCCTTCCTCTTACACAGGACGACCTGCCCGGTCAGGCTGGAAGTCTGCAAGTCTGCATGCTGGGCTTGGTGTTCCCAAGTAGTCGAGGTGGCAGACTTACGCAGCCATGGTTCTAATGCCCACCTGCCCCCCTCCCCCTCGTGCCTCCAGAGAGGATGGATTTGTCCTGACGCACAAGGAGCAGGAAGCCATCAAATCTTGGGGGAAGGGAGAAGGGCGGGGGAGAAAAGTGGCGCTTTGCAGAGCACGGAATAAATGAGGTGGTTATACGCCTCTCCCTGCGGTGGTACCTCTCACTTTCCAGGTGGACACCCAGTGCTCATCGGAACAGCTAGAAATAGCTCCTCTGACCCCATAGGCCCCCCAGCCCCCCCTCCCACCTGCATTTGTTTTTCTAAGTGTAATTCTTCCCCCAACTCATTCTAGAAGGTGGTGTGATTGAAGCTCTGTGTTGGGGACGAGGCAAGTGGCTTACGACACCAGATGTGGAGTTCCGCGGGAAGGGAGAGGGGCAGGAGCGAGGCAGGCTGGCACATGCGTAGGGTATTTATAGCAGAGTGAGTGTGGTTTGGTCTGGTTTGGTTTGGCAGACAATTACTAAACACAGTCGTGGAACAGGTTCTTAAGAAAGCTTTGGCCTTCCCTGTGTAGGAACACCCGCCTGCCTACCACAGCAAGGGAAAGGGTCCCTGCACCTCCTGGAGCCAAAAGATTGTTACCGATGCAGGGGGTGGGGGAGGGGGGAGTCAGGCTCCCACATAACGGCCTGTCCAGGGCTCTAAACACTCTGTTACATCTTCTCAAAGAATTGTCAAGAAAGAGTTTGAATGTAATATAATTTGCAGAACAAGTTTATAATATGTAACACTTTTACAACCCAGACCTAATCACTGTCCACCCAACAACAGTCATTTATGTATTGTATGGCTCTGTTCCTACAGGGCAGGGACAATGGCTACGCAAATTAGTACCCCCCCACACAACCCAGCCCAGTGCACAAAGGGGACACCCACAAAACAAAACTGGCCACTGTGCAAATTACATGCAAAATTGTGCCTTGCTGGCCATGAGTTGATATTAGGAAATGGGCCAAAACTGAGGCTTGGAGGTAGACCAGAGAGATTGGGACATGTCCTGGAAGAGGAGGAGCAGTGAGGGCTCTGAGTCACCGAAGGGCAGGAACAGATGTCAGCCAAAGCAGCCAGACTCACCCGTGCCTGGTTCTTCCGTCCCCCTGAAGCTGGGAGCACGGTCATTTACCAGAACATTTGCCTTCGTGGTGTGATGCCCATAATCCATGGGTACTTGTGTGTGGTTGTTCTAGAATCCCTCAGACACTGCTTCCCCATGGGGGCTAGAGGCCGAGTTTGGGAAATCCACCCCCCCCCCCCGCCAAATGCACATAATTCCATATAATAATCAGAGAAAATCTTTCCTTTTTCTAACTTACAAATGCTTATGGAGCTGAGGATGTGGACCACAAACAATAATGGATAGTTTTGTACAATAAATGGCCCGTCACGTTGTATTACCTTTACAGAATAGGAGATACTTGATTTTTTTCTTCCCTTCCATTCCCCCTAAAATAGGAAACACTTTAATACTTTTTTTTTTTTAAGATTTTATTTATTTATTTGACAGAGAGAGACACGAGAGAGGGAACACAAGCAGGGGGAGTGGCAGGCAGAGGGAGAAGCAGGCCTCCTGCGGAGCAGGGAGCCCAACACAGGACTCGATCCCAGGACCCTGGGATCATGACCTGAGCCGAAGGCAGACGCTCAACGACCGAGCCACCCAGCTTTAATATTTCTTAGCATGAATATACGTTGAGAAGAATACATCTCTCTTTTTCAGGTAATATTTTGTCTTTTTAAAAATATTTTGACGGAGGTATAACCGATATGGAAAAACCCGCGCATACCTAAATGTATACAAGTTGACGGGCTTGAGGTGAGATCCACAGTGTTGAATGAATGAGAGAGGACAATGAGGAAGGGGAAGGACTCACCTCTCACTGGGCTGACAGGGCCCCTCTGGGCCCAGAGCAGGGCTGCAGGCTCCCAGGCTGTGAAATGTTTCCATGACCTCTTGCAGCGAGGGGCACCACCAACGCTTGTCTCCATCTGTCAAGCCAAGGGAGGGCAGAGTGTCAGCGAGGGCAGAGGGGGACAGGTGCACTACTCTCATGGGAGGGCTGGGCGTGACAGCCCCTGGCCCAAGGGGACCCGTTTCTGCCTTCTCTAGCGCCGCAGGTGTTTTCTGGAGGAATCGAGCAACCAGTGGTTTTGAGACATCTGCTGGAGCTTTGGGAACCTGGTCCTTCATTCTCTTGTCTTCAAGCTCTGGCCACCTTGAAGTGTGAGGGCCCAGGGGTGATGGCACCTTGACTGGCTCCAGCAGGCAGCCGTCGGGGTGCTGAGCTGCCCAGAGCCGAGCCAGATGAAGAGACTTAAACCAGAGGCCTCAGAACTGCAAGACGTGGAAGACATGAGTCTCAGCAGCCCCGGGCCCTTGCTGAGGGCAGCCCTGAGCCTCCTGCTGACTCGGCGCTGCCCTTGCAGCAACAGCTGGGCGGTCCCAGGTCCACCATATCCCAGCCCAGGGCACTCCCTGCAGCCTGGGACACGTCTCCACAGCCAGCTTGAGCTCAAAGTACCATTGTCTCTTGACTAGTTTGAAAAACCATGAACAGTAATCTGACCTCACCAACGATGATGGAAAACCTTATGTACTCGGGGCTTTTCCTAAGGACATTTTTCAGAACCAGGAAACTAGAAAAACAAAAACCAATGTGCAGGATCCTATTTCCCAGAGATGGCTGCAATCCAGTCAGCCTCCCACACGCTCTTTGCATTGTGACCTCTCCACACCCCACCAAGAGGTGGAGTCCATGTCTCCCCGCGGTCCTTCCTCTACAGCATCTTATTGATTGATTTACTGGCTTCTTGTCTCGGTCTCCCCATTAGAATGTAAATTCCATGAGGGCAGGGCCCACTCTGCACACCCAGGGCCTGGAGGAATGGCTGGTGTGGGGGTGGGGGAAGCTGAATAAATGAATGAATGACTGGAGAGAATCCTAACAAACCTGACTGAGTAGTACTGGAACAAGAGGGAAACTGCAGACCAGCCATAAGATAAGCTGGTAATATCAGGAATGTGGACAGACGTTGACTTTGACAGATGCGTCAGAATCATGAACTCGAAACAGGGCTAGAAGCACATTAGCAGCACGTGCTTGACCCTTTGCCGTTCTGTGGGTCAGAGTTCTCTCCGAAAGGCCCACCTCAGTGGATCCCCCCATGTGCTGGAACCATGCCAGGTGTCCAAGATAAAAAGGTGGCTGGGGGTGGGGGGGACCTTGACCTCAGGGAGCTCACAGTCTAGGAGGGAGGGGAGCCAGGCAGATAAATACAGGAGAGTGTATTCAAAAAGCAAAGCAGGTGAGGGCGCCTGGGTGGCTCAGTTGGTTAAGCGACTGCCTTCGGCTCAGGTCATGATCCTGGAGTCCCGGGATCGAGTCCCGCATCGGCTCCCTGCTCAGCGGGGAGTCTACTTCTCCCTCTGACCCTCCTCCCTCTCATGCTCTCTGTCTCTCATTCTCTCTCTCTCAAATAAATAAATACTTAAAAAAAAAAAAAAAGCAAAGCAGGTGAAAGGTGCAGAGCCTGCTCAGAGGAGGGGAAGTTCACTGGGGCGGGGTGGGGGTGGGGGCACGGCACAGGTAACGGGAAAGGTAGCACGCACCCAGCAAAGGGACAGAAATGACCGAGGCAGAGAAGCATGAAAGAGCACGGAATGCCCAGCGACTCAAGGCAAGAAACACAGCATCCTCAACTCTTTGAGAAGTTTCGGCTACAGTCTGGTATGGCTGCAGAGCCAGCCACCGATGGAATGGCCCGCAGAGGGTCTCTGAATCCCGTCCAAGGACATCTCTTCTGCTGGCATCGGGTGTCTCTCTCTTTAGAAATGTATACGGGTCGGGGCTCACCCAACAAGTAATTAGACTCTTGGAGGAGGAAAAACTTTGTTTTTTTCCCTCTCGGGCAACTTAACAAGTAAGAGTAATGATACCCCTTGCCTGCTTCACAAACGAGCGGAGAAGAATGAAGTATGCAAAACACGAGATTCCACTACAGAGAGCGAGCTGTTTACCGGGGCCCTTGGGGGACTGCGCACGTACTCACACGCATGTGTGGGCGGGCCGACGAACTTTCCAGGGAGGGAGGATGCGTGTGCAGAGAGAATCGGCCTAGGGTGAGGCCCTGGAGGCCCAGCTTGGGTGGGGGCGGGGGGGGGGGGGCAGACAGCCTGCCTGCAGTGTAGGACCCCAAAGGGTGCTGTGCACATCCACCCTCACACCCCCTCCTCAGTCCATGCAGGTGCATCAGTTGCTTTAAAACCCCTTGGGAACAGCAGCTGCAGGTGCCGCCAGCTTCCAAACCTGGAGCCCAGCATTGTCCCTCTTCGCCAACCCGCCCCGTAATGACTCCGCACCACAGCTTGACCCAGGCTGATGGGTCAGGAGAGGTTCCAGAGCAAGGGGCCTGGGCTGCCTCAGGATAAATCGGGCCCAATCAACAGCGCAGGAAATTGGTTAAGTGACGACAGGCGCCCGAAAGCCCGTAATTAACACTGCCTAGAACTAGGCCACGCACTCAGCTTTTCCTGAGCACTGTGTCCCGAGTGGGGGTTTTCCGGAGCGCTGACACAGAACCAACCTCCGATGCGAGGCTGCCAGGTCCAACACCCTCGCTCCGTTTCTCCACAGCCACACGGCAGTCGTTGGAGGCGATGCCCCCGGGCGCATCGGGGCCCGTGCCCTTCTAAACGCCAGTGCTAACAGCCCTGAGCTCCTGGGCTCTGTTTAGAGGCTAAAGTCTAGAAGCGTCCCTCTGGGTGGTTCTCCTGGGATGGAACTGATGCTTTGGGGGAAGGCAGGGGAGGAAAAGCACTGGGCCTAAAATAAAAGTGACTTTTCCATCTGTGCCTCAGAAGCAGCGTTACTTCACGTACCACCACCGCCTCCACGCTCCTGGCACCACCGTCAGGGAATGGGAAAACCACACACTTCCCCAAACCTCCTCGGCTCGACGTGCCAGTCCCAGCAGCTCCCCTCCGCAGGCCTGTGTCATCCCTTCCCACCCACCAGGTCCCATCTGGGGCCTTAGCAGTTAGATGACAGGGCACAGGGTCCACAGGACTCTAGTCTCTTTCTCCCCCTCCCCGACCCCCAAATCGAATTGCTAAAGAGTACTCTGGGGTGGCTGCCTTGGGAGGGCCAAACATCTGCCTGGGTCCTGATTCTTGACGCCATCTTAGAGACCCCACAATTCTCCAGGAGGGGGTTCCCAATCATCCTTAATGGGGGGGTGCTTGGTTCCTAAAGAAAAGTTAAGCAACCACTCCATCAGACTGAGCCCAGATCCCACTTGGGAGCGTGGGACTCAAGACATTTAGGGGAGGCTTACAATCTGTTGAACACAATCTAACCGAGTAAATACAAGGATCTAATTAGCTCTATTAAGCAATTCACCCATCAGACAGCACCTCACCTAGCAAGCAGAGGGGAGTTCCAAGGAGTTGGACAAAATGGAAGGTTTTTATAGGAAGGAGGGTGGGGCAAGAAAGTTATTATGGAAAGAAGAGAAAGGACTGTTCCATGCAAGGTCACCTTCCCTTAGGGGGAAGGGCAGGGGGTCTTATTATACACATAGATTACCTCATTGATGCCTATCAGAAAATTCCTGACAGACTTAACACTCCTGGAGGGAGGTTGAAACTGCAGTTAAGTATTAAGCCCTGGTTTAGTGACCTGGCCTAAGTGATGCCATTTTGGGCCTGTGGTTTTCTTTTCAACAAATCTTACATTTTTATTCTTTAATTTTTTTTAAAGATTGTGTTTATTTGACAGAGAGAGAGACAACGAGAGAGGGAACACAAGCAGGGAGAGAGGGAGAAGCAGGCTTCCCGCGGAGCAGGGAGCCTGATGCGGGGCTCTGTCCCAGGACCCTGGGATCATGACCTGAGCCGAAGGCAGACGCCTAACGACAGCCATCCAGGTGCCCTAAATCTTACATTTTTAAAAAAAGATTTATTGATTTATTTGAGAGAGAGAACAAGAGTGAGTGTACATGCTTGGGGGGAGGGAAGGGCAGGGAGAGACTATCCAAGCAGACTCCCCCCTGAGCGTGGAGCCAGATGGGGCTCCATCCCATAAGCTGTGAGATCAGGACCTGAGCCGAAAAAAGAGTCAGACGCTTAACCGACTGAGCCCCCCAGGCGCCCCGCTTACCATTTCTTATCCTCCCAATTGTGATTACTCAACTTCCCTCAGCACTTCTGTATTTAAATTTACTTGTCTCAATATCACTGGCTTTAGTCAACAGCTTTAGCCTGTCATTTAAACTTTTCATTCGCTCAATAAACAGTAACTGAACACCAGACATTGTTCTAAACACTGGGGGCCCAGCACTGAACAAAAGAGACAAAATCCTGGTCTCATGGAGCTGATGGTTTAGCAGGGAAACTGACAGAACACATGAAAAATAAACAGTTTACACCGAATGAAGCCAGGTGGTATAAATGGCCCGGAAGAAAGGTGGTTGGTCGGGGTGCTGTGGGGGGGCAGTTAGACACAGAAGGAGGAGCCCTGGGTGCACCCTGAGCCCAGGCTGCCATTCCTTGTCTTTTAGGCCCAGCCAGGAGCCAGGGTGCTAGAGGGGTGTGAGGCCCAGGGGTGAGAATATAGGACAGAAAGAGGGAGGGGAACCCACCTGAGACAGGGAAACGGAAGGGACCCCATGGGAAACTGCTTTTGCTCCTCTCCCTGCTTCTGTTCTTGCTGGGACCTGCAGCCCCACCTTGCACACGCCTTAGAGTACAAATAACGTATGTCCTAACTGTAAAGGTCAAGGAGTGCATGATTTCTTTGGAGTTTTCCGGCACAGTTGGTAACATCCAAGGAGGGACTGGGTGGGGTCCTCGGGTACGTATTCCAGACCCCTGACCTTAGACATCTTGACCCCAAGACCCCCTGGCTCCTGGGCATAAGTGACTTGTGGAGGATACCTGGACCCTTGTCCTTGTTCTGACCAGTTAGGACATGTGCACCATCCTCAACAAA